TTCCTTTATAGCTAAGGATATGTAGGCAACCTTCGAAGCAAGGTTCGGTCAAACCTTTTCAAAACGTTTCCCATGGAGTGTCTAACGGCCAAAAATTGCTCGTAATTGCTCACTTTATCTTTGCACGAAAACTCTTCATGTTCGCGAGCAAAGAGGGGCGGCTGTGAGCACGTAATTTTTGCCTCACCGAAAATAGTCCTACAAAAATCAATAAATAAGTTTTTCCTAATTGTTTTTAATTTTTTATAGAGTTTCTAGGAATTATTTTGTTAATTGTTTACATTTAGTTGCATTTTTGTGCACGTTTGATAATTTAAAGTCATGAAAAATACCCAAAATATTTAATTCTTCAATCCAAAGCATTTTAAATCCTATGTGCATTTAGGATTTAATTACATTAATTAGGTGCATTATAAAACAAAAATCAATGTAAGTAATTTAGGATTAGTGAAAATAGATTAATTAGCTTTTAGTTTTAAATTGCAAAAGCTTTAGTTTTAAGTTAATTAGCGTTTAAATTAGTGAAAATAAGTTAAGGATAATTTTACAAAATAGATTAATTTAGGATTTTAGTTAGTATGTTTAGGATGTTTTATTTTTAAATCAAGAAAGAACAAAGAAAAAGAATTAAGGAGTATGATGGGTTTTGTTTAAATTTGGGCCAAAGACAAATTCAATGGCCCAAATTCGCCCCATATCTCGCCCAGGTCCGACACCCACCCAATCCGGTCCAGTCTTCAGGCGCCAAAACGGCGCCATTTTAGTAACGCCTAATCCCAGCTGTTGATCATTCTTGATCCAACGGCTCGCAACTGAAGCCCCCTTCCCCTTAAATCTGTCCAAACAGACCCCTTCCCAAACCCTAGAAACCACCTCTCATTTCCCCCTCCACCTCTCATCTCTCTTCTCTCTGAACCTCCACCCACAGCCGCCACCGGAAATCTCCCTACAGCGGCGGCGCCACTCCAAACCACCCCAAAATTACACCACACACTCCCCATCTTCCCCTCAACCCTAATCCATCACCAATTTCCCCAAAATTTCCACCAGTATTCTCCAATTTCAGATCTAAGAAGTCAAAACAACCTAAATTCCCCCCATTTTGAGTTCCCGAATTCTAGCCTACCTGAGGTTCATAACAACATTAATCAAACACTCTTATTGGGAATTATCAATTAGAGTCAATTTTGGATCCTTTACAAACCACCAGAATCCGGTCACCACCATAGAAGCCCATGACACTGTTTTCATAGGCCGACGTATGGCAGGCATCGCTGCGTATAGCATTGGCCATGCCTTCAATACTGGTTAATGCTCATGTAGCAATGTCGGCTATAGCCAGATATCTCTTTTCCCGGGCAGCTTTGTTCATTATTGGTAACCCTCCTTTCCACTTCATTAATTACTACTTATCTGACCTAATTGCTTGATGTTTTATGTTACATGTTATAGATTAGGTTTAGTTCAATCAACAACATGTTTAGTATAGTTTCGATTTGGTTAGATTGTCAATTGATAATTGTCTAAAGGTTGCATCAATATGTGATTGTTAGTATATTTTCTTTTTCGAATGTTTAGCATGTTCTAAGTTAATTAAGATTTCAAATTCATTGATTCTATGTAGGCCAATGTTTTAGATGCATAGCACGCAGTTTCAATTAGGTCAAAATAATCTTGATTAGCTAATTGTAGGTTTGAATTAGTTTAATCACCTAAACAGGCCAAAGTTTGAATATTATTTGTTGTGGATGGTTTTGGTTTAAATCCAAGTTTTGTGGTAGTTGTTTGTAGATATTGAAACACCAAAAGGGGCCAAAAGAAATCAGAAAATCAGGAGTTTGAGATATTTGTGTAGTAAACTTCTAGAAGGATTGAAATGTAACAAAACAACTGAATTATGTCAAAATTTGGGGTAAAAAAGGTTAGAATCAGAAGATAAAAGGGCTAACACATATAGGGAATATCTGGATAAGACAGTTGTCCCAACATCTGTCCATTTTCTGTTAGAAATGATGCTTCTTTCCTATAGGGACTGCATTCCCTAGAATTATTCCCTCTCACTTTGCCTATATAAGAGGCCTCACATTCCCATCATTCAGACTGACTACACATACGGAAAAACACTCTGGAAATTCACTCTTTTCTTCATTTTGAGACTGGTTTTACACATTGATTTTACACAGAACTCACTCTTCAATTTTCATTTTACTCCCATTCCTATCTGCACACATCCCCTCACAAGTACACACTGCACTTGCAAAAAATTTCAAAGAAAAAGTTTTCAAAAGTTATTTTCTTTGCTGATTTGCTGGTTAACCCTGGGGTATTCAAAGGATTGAATCAAGTTGCTAGGGAGATGTCTGTTGCTATTCCTTGCTTGGATATGCTATATTTATTTTGCTGAACTTTACTCTGCCTTTATTTTGCAATTTTTGAGCAATTCCTAAGCAGCTAGGCACACATTTCACCCCTGTACTTGAATATTTTCAAATTTGGTTTAAGAAGGAATGCTAGTAATTTTATGTTAATGTATTTTTGCTCTTTGTTATGAATGATTTATTCTCACAAATGTAACAATATCTGAGTTTTCTTGAGCATATAATTCCCCTTTTGATCTGATACTTATCATGCCATGGTAGATTATAATTGTGTGTTTTTTTTATGTTAAATGTAGCAGTTCTTATCTTTAGTTTAAACTATCTATGTTAGTTTTGGTTTAGTCCTATCTATAGTGTCTTGAATTTGCTAGTTGAATTTGTGTGGTAATACAGGTTGTCGTGTGTGCATGGCTGTGGTCTTGTGAATCTGACCTTTAACATGGTCAGATCCATATATTTCAAAGTTAAAATGGAGTTCCGGTTTTCGATAGGCATGGAAGAACAAAAATTGCAGATTTTGAATGACAACTGTTTGAAATTCTAATTGTAGTCCTTATGGTAGCTATCCTAATGTAATAGTTTGAATCAAAATTTGTTTCTCATTTTTACAGTTTGAGTCTCATTCACTTGGGTTTAACCATGGGCTTGTAATTGATGAGTTTATAGTTCATTGTTATTGACGAATAGATATGGAAATTTGATGCTAAAGGTTCTTCAGTATAATGTATATTTGTAAATTGTAATTCAAAATGTGCTTGTTTATTCAGCAAAAACGTTTGTTTGCATATTTTGAACAATGTCTTTTATTTTTTTTTATCAAAGAATCGCCTGGTTTGTCTGGCATGTTGATAGTTCATGACTTTGAGCCATTTATTCATTGGGGCTCAACTACAGGCCCATTTGAGAGCTTGTAATACGTCAAGCTAATTTCTTTCTAAAAAACACCATTCATGTCTGCACTTTATTTTGAGAAAACGGTGTGGAAATATAATCTAGATCCCAATTAACTGAGTAGGATACATTAATTCAATTTGATCAACCATAGTCAAAGCTCAACATAGAACTCCATTGAATTACGAGATTGGCTATGTAGTTGCATATACACCTTACCCACTGTACCATATTTCGCAACAAATCTCAAAATTTGATTAGGATAAGCTATTAAGACTGCAAGTATGCTTTAGGCATGTTTTTTTTAATAACTAATTTATCGTGATTATGTACACGTTCGCGTGACATGATTGCAATTTTAAAAATGAATATTTCGTAGAAATGCTTTAGGCGCGCATTTAATCTAGTATCGTGATTATGTATACGTTCGTGTAGCATAATTACGATTCCCAAAATAAATCAAAGTATGCGTTCGCGCGACTTTGGCCGAAATAATCTTCATAATTAATAAAGCGTGATTAATTGTGTACACATACGCGTGACATGATTTAAGCGCCCCAAATAAACGGATTTACACTCATGTAATCCATTTCAAATATTAAATCCATAAAACGTCATAGTTAAAAGCGGTAAAAGGTAAAAGGTACATAGGTTCTAAAACACGTAACTAAATAATTTAATAAAGCCAGGTGTGATTAAAGCGACCGTGCTAAAATCACGAAACTCTGGAGTGCCTAACACCTTCTCCTAGGTTAACAGAATTCCTTACTCGGTCTTCTGGTTTCGCAAACTTTAAACGGAGTCAAATTTCCTCGATTTGGGATTTAAAATAAACAGGTGACTTGGGACACCATAATAAATATACCAAGTGGGACTCTGAAATTAAATAAATAATCTCATTTCGATTAATGTCACTTTAATCTAAAAAAACTCCCTATTCCTATCGGAAAAAGTAGGTGGCAAGACCTAACCCCTACCCCGGAATAAAGAGGTTGTTTCCGGGAGATCCTCGACTCAAAAAGACAAGGAGCGGTTACACAAATCTTCTAAAAGTAATTTTTTTTATTTATAGCATTATAGGAAGGTCTGCGTACACTCTACACTCCCCAGCCTCTCTACTCCCCGGGGCAGGGGTAAGGTCTGCGCAGACTCTATCCTCCCCAGACTCCACTTGTGAGATTCTGCTAGGCTGTTGTTGTAGTATAACATTATAGGAAAAAAAAAAAACATTAGTTCTACTGCAGTTCGCAAGCTAAACTGTATGGGAGGAACTTTGGAACGAACAGCAATTATTTTGGTAAGAAAAGAAAAGAAAACGAAGAAGGCACAAAAGATGGGCATTCATGGGAACATATATGTGGCTAAAATGAGTTTACTAAGGGGTGGTTTGGTTGGAATATGATTTATACCGGTATAAGTTATATTGGGATAAGTTATGCTGGGATTAGTTATGCTGGGATTGTTGTTTATTCATTGTTTGGTATGTTGTATTAAGAATGACAACTGCATAATTTCTAAGAAGAAGGTATAAGTTATACCGGTGTTAGTTACCCCACCTTTTTATAAGGTATAAGTTATCCCAGTGTTAAAATTAACACCGGGATAACTTATACCTGGTTTACTAACCAAACAGAGTATTAAGGTGGTATTAAATTTTTATACCACCCTTATACCTTGTTATACCTCATACCAAACGACCCCTAAAAGTGATTACAATAATCGGTCCAACACTTGAGAAGAAGAAGCTTTCCTAATTTTTTTAACGAGCATTGCTCCTAAAGACTATAATATAATGTATTTATCATTGGAAGGACAATTGATGGCAAGTGTTGTTCGTTATGCAGGAACGTGGATCACATACAACATAATGTATATACATATATAATCGGGCAGTACTTACAAGACCCATAAACCAAATTAGTAGGCTTCCAGGTACTTGTTGAATCCTCCCTCTGATGCTCGGCTAGTTAGGGCTGGTTTCATCGTAACAATGGCAGACTGATTTGCTCCAGCTCTTAGAGCAGCCCTACCAGCTTCCAAGAACCTATTGACTGCATCCTCTACGTATCGATTAGCTTCACCAACATTCATGTTCCGTCCAATATCAGGGTAGCTTTTGAGCACATGATCACCATTAAGCTGTGAAGCAAGCTGGATCATTTCTATTTGAAATTCAGAGAGTTTTACATCTTCTCTTGGTCCCCATGGTCTTAGATTTGTCTTCACCTCCGGAAGTTTCTCTGCTCAGACATCATACGGATCAAATGATTATGATTAGACAGGTAAATGGGTGATATGACTCTTGTTTTATTTAAAGAATTAGGAGACTCCTAAGAAAAATGTGTATTAAGTTATTGCAAACATATAATAAATAACGAAAATTCCCCTTGTAACCGTTAAAGTTTGTCAATGAAGGTTCACATATTAAAACATAGTATTAGAGCAGGCATGAGCCTCATTTCGAGTTTCAAACCGCCTGTCATCACTATACATATTTCCCTATGTACTTGGCCTAGCAAACAGAATTAGGCTTGCATGTGCAGGAGTGCGTGAACCTAAAATAATCAAACAAATTTACTAACCATCAATTAAGTTTTTATTCACGCAACTCCACACAAGTTTAAATCATAGATCCACTCAATTCATCCAAACTGATGATTATATCAGAGATCCCATCTGTTCTATCAAGAACTCAAAGCCACATTGAAGCAATTTTCACAAATTATCAAAGATACAGCACCCCATTCTTCTTCCTCCGACATTCTAAAAGCTATAAAAGATCAAATCAGTTTTATCAGATCACACACCAAAATAAAGGATAACTGCAGCTTTCACCAATACCTGAGATGGAAAACACCCCATTGATTTAAATGATGAAAGAGAACTACAACTCCTGCAGTAGCTAAAGTGGGAAAAAGCTTAAAAGAACACCCTCTTGAAGTCGGGAAAATGAGTTCATGCGGGAGCCCATAGTGTTCCATAAGGAAGTCTAAAGCAGCTTATCCAGAAAAAAAAAATTGTGTTTGCTTAGCATCATAACACGTTTGAGGAAAAAAGCAGCTTTTACTAGTAATAGTAGTCATAACGCGTTAAAAGTACGAATAAACTTTTAGTAATAGAGTCTTTACCATATGTGCTTTTGAAGAATTTTAGCAGAGATATTTTTACTGTATAGTGTTTCCTAAAGAATTCAACATCTAAAAAACAACCATATATATTCAGTTGAACTCTTTACTTTCCAGTCTAAGTGACTATTAGTCAGTCTGTATGAACATGAAATTTTCAGTATTAAGCATGTAGTAATTGGGAAATACGCTAAATAATTGTTCATGGTTTGATGAAGTTGTACCTGGACAATCATCACGGGGAGTCTTACGCAGGCGGAAATAGTTCTCAAAGCTCCCAGCCCATGCGTCTCGTTTGGTTAAGAAACTCGACTTCAGATTAAAAAGTTTTTTCACAGTTGCTGGTATGGAAGAGTGCTCAAATTGTGAAGATGGGGTTGGACCATTTGCTTCATGGATCACTGCATCAAACATATCGATAAGGTAAGGTTAAACATAATTCTGATCCATCTTCACCAAAAAAAGCAAATTATATATGCGCCAGTTTCTTATCATAGAAGAACAATATATTACCTTTTTTCCTCTGCAAGCACATAGGTTACTTGACGTTAGCATCTAATGTACCATCGATTAAATTTCAACAGGAGATTATTTCACTTTAATGGCCTTGCAGAAATATTTCTTGTTTTAGTAAGCCAAGTAGTAGAACCTGAGGTATATTATACACACAGCCGCTCTAACAGGCTTAAAGTTGCTCAAGTCTAGCGCAATAAAAACTCTTTGAACTACCAAAACCAAATATTAGCGCAAGATATTCTTGTAAACTTGTAATGGCACCTCTTTTGTGTTCAACATGGTTATAACTCATAAGCTTCAACACAGACATATAGCAATACCACAACTAGAAAGATTTCCTAGTTAATTTACAAATTTTCATCTCAAAGAATCCTAAAAACGCAACAACCCCACTGAATTCTATTCCTATCACCAGCTTTACCGCATATATTTCTCCTTATCAAATGCTAAGTAGTAAATATCAACCACAAAGTACCTTAAACAGTTAAATGATAATGAAATGAAATACAAGTAATTAGTCAATGTAAAGCGACTCACCAGTGCCTTTGTCAATCCATGGGGAAATCAAGAAAGCAGGAACACGCACACCCAAGCGATCAAATCTGAAGTAATATGGAGGAGGCCCTATAATCCCATCAGGATTAGGCACCCCAGATACCGGAGTCGGTACATGATCAAAGAACCCGCCATGTTCATCATATGTAATCAACAGTGCCATTTCTTTCCACTGTGGACTCGCCCTCAGAGTCTCATAAACCTCCTTCACAAATTTCTGTCCAAGTGCTACATCGTGTGATGGATGGTCATCATTAGCCGGGTCAAGTTTAATATCAAAGTATCTCTGTTCAATCACCACGTAATTTGGTAGTTTCCCAAGTTTAGCATGGAGTTTGAACTTCAATGCATAATCATGAAACTTAAAAATGTGTTTGAGTTTTCTCAGTGACTTGAAAAAAAACGTAGCTGGGATGTTTTGGTAATAAATTCCAAAAGAGAGGCCATTTTCGTCTAAAGAATCGAAGATGGTCTTTTGAGGGAACCCGTGGATTAAATCTTTGCGGACATTGCTGGAAGCTCCGTGAGAAGTTGCCGAGTGAACATAAAACCGGTTCGGCTGAGTTGAAGCCGGAACCGACGCGAACCACCGGTCAAACACCCCGAACTCATTCGCTAACTCTCTGTACACCGGTAACAACTCCGGTTTAAACCCGCTCATCACGGTTTTCTCCATATAAGGGACGCCCATATTGAGAGCCTGCTGCACGAACCCGTTCATGGGAGCCGGGTTAGCGGAGGAATCATTGGACCCGAATATCTGCTCTCGAATAGCTTGAATGGAGTGACCCGGGTCGGAGTCAACGAAGACAGCATCATCGGAGACAAAGATTTTCGGGGAAGAAGGGTCGGAGGCATTGACCCGGTTAAACTCGGAGCCGTTCAGGCCGTCGATATCCGGTCGGGTCTTGTGAAGCCAACCTAGGATGTGATCAAAGGAGCGGTTTTCCATGACCAGAACGACAAGGGTCTTGATGGGTCCATCGATTTTGTGATGCTTGCGCTTGTGAAAGGGGAAGGAAGAGGAAAGGGAAGGGGATAAAAGGAGGTAAACTAAGAAGAAAAAAGTGAAGCGGGTCGCCGGGAAAAGCATTTTCCGATGACGCATTTCCATCCCGGCGACGGCAGGTAAGGATGATAATGAATAATGGATATGTGCCGCTTCTGCAAGAAAAGTAAAGTGGAATTGTCAAAAACATATTATATAATATGTAGTAATTTTGATGGAAAATGGCATATCCTGTGAGAATTATTTGGTACTCCTCATTTGACAGTGGGTTTACAAAAAATTTTGTGGGACACAGTACTACTTTTGTCTTAGCCAAGTTATATCCGTTCTGAAATTTGGCAGTACTCTTTTGTTTTTGTTTTTTCTTTTTTCTTTTTCCAACGATGCGCGAATTAGCTCAAAAGAAAAAAAGAGTGGAGAGATAATAATAAAAGATGTATATTGCAGATAAAATTTAAGGACAACATTCAAAAAAATTAAACCATAAAACAAGTAGATAAATTTGTTTGAGTTGTTTCTAAAAAACTAGTTTCTCGAACGCACGTGTATGTCGAAGTCATGTCAAAACATGAAATAAATAATGTCAATATTATTAAAACAAGAATATTTGAATATCATAATTTTTTTATCGATGCCAAGATAATTGGATATTGTCTAAGGTTATAAATATGAACAATCAAAATATAATTAGATACATGGAGTACTTATACTAAGTCTAAACACAATATAATAAAAAAAAAATTGATCCTTTCTAGATAATTAACAAAATAACTTCACACTTGAAGTTCTTAATTATGTCAAGTTCGAAATCAGTGCACCATAAACAATCAACAGAAATTTATTGGTAATCATAATTTTTATAAATTTTCGACTCTCTCTTATCTAACATCAATTAATAAGAAGAGCACTCTTTTCAAATAAGAACTTGGAGAACATATTAAAATTTGATAAAGTATAAGTTGTTTCTGACTTGCACATTTACTATAGCATTAACTTATTTTCTAAGATAAAATATTTCTCACATAAAGATTTATCAAGATATTTTTTTGCTAATGAAAGTCACTCAAGATAGGACACGTCAAAGAAGAGAATAACCAAATTATTTAATCAAGAATAAATAAATATTTAATAAATTAAAATAAATCTTTCACATCGAAAACATTAAAGTTTTTAAATGTTGAGAACTACTCTCTTTTCCAAGAAATACCAATGAAAGCACAAAATTTCATTAAAAAAGGAAAGCCAGATAACAAATTAAAAATTGATATTATAAGTAAGTATTTGAATTAGAATGCTGCTATTCGGCCAAACTCAGCATGACCCAAAAATGACCACACTGGTGAAATACCACTAAAGCCCTTCATTTCACATTTGGCTTAATGGCCATTTTACCCTCCAAAATATTTCCCTCCAAAATTAGTTAATAAATATTGATTATCCCAAAACATTGGTCCCATAAATCATCATTCTCTCATGGGAAGATCAACCAACTTCATATATATACCTATGCTATTACGTATTTATTTTATTTTTAAATAAAATTTATACAGATAGTAAGATCAAAAGCCTTCGTATATGTATACCTATACTATTACGTATTTTTTTAAAATACAATTTATACGATGGGAAGATCAAAAGTCTAGTATCTATACATAATATTATTTTTTATACGGTATACAAACTTATACCATACACTTATGTTAAGAAAGCCTTCATTAAACGCATAATTCACCACCCTTCCCGGTAACCTAAACATGAATGCTAACCTAGAAACTAGTTTGGAGCCATTAAACATGGAAAATAAAAAATACATTGAAGAATAATGTTTGTAACATATTTTTACGAATATTCAAAAAATAATGCATATTCTTTGAACAGAAAGCTAAAAAAAGAAACATAAAAATTTTTACGAATATTTTTAAGATACAAAAGTACATTGAAGAATACTTGGAAAATATTTTTACGAATATTCAAAGAATAATGCATATTCTTTGAAGAGAAAAGTAAAAAAAAATACAAAAATGATATAGCCCGTTGATGAAGTAGTTGTCAAATAGCCGTTTATATAATAGCCGTTTATAATAAGGTCATTCGTATCGACCTATAGCTACCATATAAGTCCATTGGCTAATATGGTTGTAGTCATATAACATACGCTAATTATATCGTTGTGATTCATAGTAATATCGACCGCTTGTATAATAGCCGGTTATATTAATTTCATTCATTAAGGTCATTCGTATCGGCCTATAGCAACCATATAAGTCCACTGACTAATATGTTGAAGTCATATAACCTATGGTAATTATATCGTTGTGATTCTTAGTAATATCTACCGTTTATAATAACCGTTTATATTAATTTCATATATATATATATATATATATATATATATATGGCATATGGCAACCATATAAGTCCATTCACTAATATGGTTGTAGTTATATAACCTATGTTAATTATATCATTGTGATTCTTAGTAATATCGACTGATTATATAATAGCCGTTTATATTAATTTCATACATATCGGCCTATAGCAACCAAATAAGTCCATTCCCTAATATGGTTGTGGTCATATAACCTATGCTAATTATATCGTTGTGATTCTTATTAGTATCAACCGTTTATATAATAGACGTTTATATTAATTTCATACATATCGGCATATAGCAACCATATAAGTCCATTCGCTAATATGGTTGTAGTCATATAACCTATGCTAATTATATCGTTGTGATTCTTAGTAATATCGATCGTTTATATAATAACCGTTTATATTAATTTCATACATATCTGCCTATAGCAACCATATAAGTCTATTCACTAGTATGACCTTGTTTATATAATAGCAAATATATAATTCGACATATTTTTATTGGTTAATCTTAATTGTAATAATCTTCACCAAATATCTTAATCATAATAAAAGGAAAATCATGATTAAATTTTACAACTTTATTAAGAGGGAAAACAAGATGACATTTTTGGACTAAAATGTCAAATACAATTTTCGGAGGGAAACAAGGGAAAAGTAAAAATATGATTGGAGGGAAATAGAAAGTTTTGAGTCTTTATATATCTCTTAAACACAAGAACAACATTTCCAACTCTTTAAACAAAATAGATACTCTAAACATGAATGCTAGAGGATGGATTGAAGATGAATTCTATCCATGGTTTCGGATGGACGTGCCCAGTTCGTACATCAAGCGTGATTATGTGGTAATTTTTTTTATAATATTTTCATGATTTGATAACTGTTGATTATCCCAGCTAGCAATGAACCATGAACCTTATCTTTACATTATGTTCTTGCAGTTTCTTCTAAAGAGTATCTTTGGCTATCTTCCTCCTATTTCGGTCAAAACAATGCTTCGATATAATGGGAAGGAATGGGCTGTGACTTCCACAAGTGGTGTTCGGAGAAGACTCGTTAATGGTGGAAATAATTTATTGTCGACAATAATCTGAAAAAAGGGAGTGTTCTTCTCTTGGAACTAGTTCAGGCTACATCAGGGGCTGTGATCTTCTCTGTTGAAGTGCTAGGATAAACTTATGTTTAGCTTGATAATTTCTTCTCTTTAGTTATATTTATTAACTTCAAGTGGATCAAAGTAATGAATTAATATGATTGTTCCTTATAATATTGTCTGTGTTTTTTCCATTTATTATTGTTATATTTATTTATTTTAAGAAGATTATTGGTTTAAAAATAGCTAATTAAAATTGAGAAATCATTAACAATATATTTAGTGCAGAAGTCCCCCTATTCTTTTCTATCATTTTACAACCAAGAACAAAACTAGGAAGATTTTTTTTAAAGTTTAAAAATCGACATTACTTTGCTCATAGAGAAGTGGAAAAATCAACACGAAAAATCAAAAATTGTATTTACCACTACAAAATTTTGGAGACCGATCCGTTATTAATTAGAATTCAACCACCAAGATGAAGGTTAAGACTATGAGATAAAACCTATGAAGTGCACTGTCACTATATGGAAGAAGTGTAAAAAAAAAATTTTAAAAAATCCAAAATATGTGAAGTGCACTGCCACTATATGACAGGAGTTAAAAAAAAATCCAAAATCTGTATAGGCGGATGGATAAAGACAAGCTTCTATAATTAATTGTAGTCATGGAGGAGAGTAATGGTTGCATAGAGGAGTGTAATGGTGCATAGAGGAGTGAAATTGACTACTGGGAAGTGTAATGGTTGCATAAAGGAGTGGAAGGGTCTATTGGGAAGTGTAATAGATGTATGGAGGAGTGGAAGGGGCTGCTAGGATGTGTAATGTCCGCATGGAGGAGCGGATATGGCTAATGGGAAGTGTAACAGTTGCATAGGGACCAGCTTATAAGCTTAGCCAAACACCCTCTTAGTCACCAAGCTTTTTCACCGCTAAAGCCTAAAATATAACTAATTTTAGACAAATAATAATTTTCACTAGTTGCCTACAATATTAGAGATGAAACTAGTTTGTCACCAGTAACTTTAGATATTGTGACTAATGTTACTAAATAACTAGCGACAATCCATTTTTTTGGTGGAAAACTTGAGTAGATAAAACTATCGCTACGAAATTTTTGTTTCTTCACTAAATGTATGTGCGTGTGCATTTAAGTACGACTCTAATTTTTGTTCCAAAAAGATAATGACAGTGATGAACTTTTTATGCTACCTAATAATTTCATAGGTAAAATAGAGATGATACACCGCTCGTCACTAATTTGTTTATGCTATTAGTGACAAAAACTAAGGTTGCAAAAAATATAAAACTCTTAGTGAGGAAACTATTTCGTAGCGAAAATATAACTAATTTTAAGACGAACAATTATTTGTCACCAATTGTCTACAACATTTAGTGACGAAACTAATTTATCACCAATAATATTAATTTTGTGGCTAATATTAATTAATATTTGGCGCCAATTCATTTTTTTGTGGGAAACTTTAGTAGACAAAATTTTGCTATAAAATTTATGTTTTGTCACTAAAAGTATGTGCCTCGTGTATTTAAGTACGAAATATAATTTTAGTCGCAAAAAATGGATAATTAGTGACAAATTTTCTATTGTAGCTAATATTTTGGTGGTTGAAAATCACATTTGTTGTAGTGGCTTCTTAGTTGAAGCACTATATATTTAAGTGTTAGAGTTAGAAAGTAATACAATATTATTTTAGTGATACAGTAATAAACTAAAATACAGTAGTTTAATCATATTTTTTTAGTATACTATGCGTATATTTTAGTTTATTTCGTTTAATTGGTATAGTATATGTATA